ATATATATATTCTGTTAATTTAATAAAATATACATATATTACTAAATTTTGGATCATCTTCAAGCATATTTTGCCAAATTATCCAAACATTATTATTATATTTTTTTAAACACATAGGTTTTTGGGAAATGCTATAAGCCATAATTAAAGCTCTTTCATCTCAATGAGTTTAATTTAAATTCTTTAAAAATAGATAATAGCCCACTAATATAATTCTTCAAAGGAATCAAAACTAAGGGGGATGAAGAGAACTTCTAGTAAAGGTTGCAGCGAATAAAATGTGCTGACATTTTTGCATTTGCAGAGAATTTATTCTGTGATTCACATGATGAGTCAGATAAATGTACCTATATCTAGGCATGATTTCGAAGTCATCCCCTTCAATTTTTATTTTTGATTCAATTAATTAAATTTTCAAAGACTATATAAGCAGAGAACTTTGGTTTACTTTCAGGCACTTGATATTATTTCCAAAACTATATTGCTTCATGTCTCCAAACTTCTTATCTATCTTTTTTCGTGGCCAATTTTACAAATTAAAGGTCTCTATAGGTATTTTATGCTTACAAGAACTTGGAAATAATTTAGCATTTACTTTTTTCTTTCTCATCTGAGGCAACTTGGGCTGAATATTAATTCAATTCTTAGTTATACAACATTTAAAATTTCTTTAAAAAATGAGCAACTTTACATTTTTTAGAAAAAATTTATCCTTTAATTCTAAGGACTCTTAAACACAAGCATAGGGAAGTCCCTATGAGATAGATTATTTACAAGAGGAAAAATACACACTAAAATATTCTATAAGCCCCCCAACAAAACTGCATGTAGCCCTACCCGGTCTTATTCTCATTAGCAATAAAGAGTTTGCTCTCCATGCAATCTAACATGGAATGCTTAGAGCAGACAGGTGCAAATTACAAGCTGTTTCACTTTGGTTGTTATCCCCTCAATCGACAAATAGGCTCTGAGAACAAAAAAGGTTCCAGCCCAAACTGCATAAATGAAACTCTTAACAGGGACACACCAGCTGGCTAGGAGAATTCAATACAGCAAATACTAAATATTATCTTTATGCCACTTGTCAAGGAAAACGGCTTCAATAACACCCCCTACCTTTTATTATTGAGCTGATGTTCCTTGAACCGTATTTTGCTTTATTGTAAAGGCATCACTATGGCCAAAGTGGATGACAACAGAAGCCAACATACCTGTTCCTGTTTAGCATCATTACACTCCTCTCAGCGATTCAGGCATGATTAGGTTCCTGGAGGTGGACCAGATTGACTGTATTTCTATTCGCGTCTTTTTTTATTTTTGGCTGATCCAAGCAAAGCCCCAGAGCAGTGAACAACAAAAACAATCACTACCACCCCCTCTTCGGCAATGCAATGAATCTGCTGAGCTAGTCTGCGGAAAAAAAGAAAAAAAAAAGTTGTTCATACTAAGAACACCTAAATTAATTTCACGGAAGAGACACGCCATGCCAGTATGTATTGGAATCTAAGGTATGCGTTTCTGAAAAGGGACCCTAACTCTGTCGTTCCAAAGTTGCTTCTCTTTTTGCCTCCCTGGTGTGCACTGGAACTGCTGTCTGGAAGAAGTAACTTTAACTTTAGCTCTAGGGCCACTGACTAGGTCTGACTGTGCGATCTTCCCTAGCACGCGAGTGGAGGGAGACAACTCCTTGTTTACAGCCGAACAGAAGAAAACAGCTAGACACAAATGAGGGCTGACGGTTTCATGAAGCACAATTGGTTGATCCCAGATGCGATCTGACTGCCCTGAACTGAGCGATGATCTGTGCAGTATGCAGAATTCACTTTCTTGCTGGTCTGTGCCCACCAGGCTTGGAGCTGCGCGGCCCGCGCCCCTCGGCAGTGGCTTTGAGTGCAAGCAGAGCTGAACACTGCGCTGTGGGACCCGATTCCTTCTGACAACAATCACATTCTTTTAAAAACTTCATAGGTTTTGGTTGTCACTGGTTATAAATGAATTTGTTGTTGGTCGTGTTCACTACTCTATCATAGAATTCTTTTCAAGTTGAGAGTGTTGGCATCAACAGATATTTGTTGTTTTTTAATCAAAAAGAAAATATCGAAAACACTAACAGTTCTTACAAATTTCAGGCAGTTTTCTTCTTTTTCTCTTTAAATCACAAAGTGTTACTTGTTTTCTTCTACAGTGCATATTATAGATATATTTAATAGGCTAACCTTACCAAAATAAAAAAAAATCCGATTTATTTCTATTTAAGGACACATAATAAAGAGATGTGTTAGTATAAATTGCTCACTTATATTTGGAGTTAGATTGTATTATAGCAATTAAATAAAAATGTGAAGGAAAAATACCATGGAGTATTTTCAGTTAAGTACTTTCAGTTAAGATTTCTAAATATTTGGATTTTTTTCAGAATTAAGTAGATATCAGTGAGAAGCAGGAAAATACTGATGACTAAATTTTGCTTCTTAATTTACTTTTTGAAATTCAATATAGA